ATAACACGTGTAATTATATAAATAAAGTCATTGTTTATAGCACAAGCCTGAGAACAAAAACTATAGTTTACACTACAGCTCTACACCGAAGCGAAGCGAGGGCGGGCCACTAGTTATATACTAAAATTGATTTATTATATGGACATTATCCTACCTACATACAAAAGAGTTACTTTATTTTTTATTAAGAGAAACTCGTTAAGTTTTTCCTCTAAGAAAAATTGCAGTACTCGTCGCAAAGCGGAGTATAGTATGAAAGAGGATCTTGATATCAAACTTTTATTATTTCAAGGTACTCTGACTCGGTTGGTACTGAATGAAAATTATTCTTTTGTTATGCTAGTGTTAAAATATTTTCAATGTTAAAAAACAAATCAACACTATAACGCGGAACCAACGGCGCGGCGGGACCATTGCTTGTTCGTCTTTGATTTTAAAAATTTTCGTAAGTTATGCCTGGAGAGGGGACAGTTTTAATTTTATTTGAGAGAAGTAATATACAAGCCAGGGTCACGCCTTGGCATTGATTGACTTAAGCATTTACACATTCGTTCATCGATGCCTCTTTGCGCTTGCAACTGCATTAATGTACTATTCAATGATGATATTCATTTACAAAAACAACTATTCACATCTATACTTATAATAAATCTGTAGAGAGGTCAATTCTGTACATGAAATATATTTTCGAAATAACTATCAGGGGGTGATTAGTGATCGATACTGATGCCAAAAATGCAATCAGTAAAATTTTTGTCTGTCTGTCTGTATGTATGTTCCTTATAGAAACAAAAACTACTCGACGGATTTTAACCAAACTTGGTACAATTATTCTTCATACTCCTGGGCAGGTTATAGTATACTTTTCATCACGCTACAATCAATAGCAGCAGAGTAGTGAAGGGAAATGTTGGGAAAACGGGAGAAGTTACTCCATTTTTAAGCTTCCGTCGCGTGTGCAGCCTTAATGGTTAAAGTTACATAGAAATCATGTATGACGAAAATATTCTACATAAAATTGTCTAAAAAATATCCCGCAACAGTGCAATAACACGTGTAATTATATAAATAAAGTCATTGTTTATAGCACAAGCCTGAGAACAAAAACTATAGTTTACACTACAGCTCTACACCGAAGCGGAGCGAGGGCGGGCCACTAGTAATCAATAAAATTCTGTCTTAAGTGGCTACAGACAAGGGAAGAATATACGACGTTTCGCTTTTTGAAATTCTATAATGTTCTTACTAAAAGCTTTGCTGTAAATGTTTTTCAAGCGAATAAGTGCGGTTTATGTGTTTATTTTCCAAAAAAAAGGAAATAACTTAGACAGAAAGAACATATTAGGGCATTTCGTATAAGCGCCATCTATCAAATGACATGAAGACCGTTGCAAACTCTTACTAAGTTGAAAGGGCAAACCCTCAACGAATTGTTGGTAAAAGCTTTCAGTGAAACGTAGAGAAATAGTTTTATCTTTGTTGAATAGATGGCGCTACTGGTATATTTGAGTTCATTAAAGCGGGTTTTTCACGCTGAAATTAAATTTTAAGATATATAATAGAATAAACACTAGAATAAACTCCTTTAATGCCATTCAAAGAAACCGCGTTGCAAAATTCATGTCCAGGTTTGAGGAGTGTAGGAACTCTATTAAATCAAGTCTGGCGGAGACAATTTTCAATACGAATATGTATAAACGATGGGTGCAATTAGAATCCTGAATCATGATACGATCTAATGTAATTTTTTTTTTGTATTTGTGAATGTAGTAATTTGACTTCTGTGTACATATCATAATATTTATGTAATTATAAATTTGGAATTGATGAAATAAGTTATTATTACTTAACGCTTTCAATGTTTTGTTCGTATACGATTTCAGAGTAGTATCAAATACATTTAGACACCGCATTTATTTACATTAGGCACCGCAAAATACTTCAAGATGCTAGTCATTAATGCAACTATTGTATAGTGAGGGGTATCAAAGAAGGTTGAGAAGTTTTAATGAAATAAAATGAAAATGATACCTTATTAAAATTGACTTATTAAAAGCTCCTTTGAATCGTCCAATTTTGTTTTTCTTCCATTCCGGACACCTTTTAGCTGATGAGAAGAACGGGCGGAAGACACACATCAGCATTTAACACAGCAACATTTACAAATAATGTCGCTACCAATACAAAGTCCACTCACATTTTGATTGCTGTGTCATACAGTATAAATACAATACCTAATTATAAACAGATCCATACTAGACTTTCCAATCTTTCTATATGGAGCTGAGACGTGGACACTCAAAACGAAAGACCGTCGCAAGATTGACGCTCTGGAAATGTGGTGTTGGAGACGTCTGCTACGCATTCCTTGGACCGCGCACCGTACCAACGTTTCAATCCTGAGGGAACTCAACATCAAAGAGAGATTATCGTCGACTGTGCAGATACGAATCCTCAAATTCTTCGGGCATATTACTCGCAATGAGAACTCCATGGAACGATTGGTGGTGCAAGGGAAAGTTGAGGGCAAAAGGTCTCACGGGCGCTCTCCAACAAGGTGGTCAGACCTTATTAAATCGGCGACGCACTCTAGCGTAAATGATTATTCTCGCTCTGCAAAACATCGAGCTTCATGGCGACGCATCGCGATTGCATCAGTGGCACAAGAATCGACCGAGACATGACCACGACCACTCTGTCAAGAGTGCACGACTAGGAAGAAGAACTAGACTTTATCTACAACCATGATACGAATCCACTTATAGTAATTATATAGCTATTTACTCTTTGATACACGTTTTCCTATTCACAAAATGTTGGCACGCCTTTTTATAATCTTTCTAGATATTTTCGGGGAGTAATTAACTGGTTGGAAATGTCCTTTTCTGCATTAGTAATATATATGTAACTAGTGACCTACTCTCGCTTTGCTTCGGAGTAGAGCTGTAGTGTGGACTATAGTTTTTGTTCAAAGGCTTGTATTATACTCAATGACCTTCTTCATAATAATTATAAACTTTCAATACCAAGTAAAAAAAATGTTACTTAGTTTCTTTTTATGTTATAGGGGGCATACGAGCAGATCAGCTCACCTGATGGTAAGTGATCACCGTCGCCCATGGACACTTGCAACACCAGGAGTATCACAAATGCGATGCCGGCTTTTAAGGAAGGAGTACGCTCTTTTTTTGAAGGTTTTTGGGTCGTATCGGTCCGGAAACACTGCTGGCGACAACATATTCCACAGTTTTGTCGTACGTGGTAAAAAATTTCGACAAAAACGCACGGTTGTGGATAGCCACGCATCAAGATGATGGGGATGAAATTTTTGTCGCGAAAAATAAATTAAATAATTATTAATAAATTTTTGTTTAGGACCCGTTGTACCAAATGCAACATTGTTCTGCTATTCCGACTTATAACATTTTTTTTGTATTGGACAGTGCATTTATCGAGGAAGGCTATAGGCTATATATTACCAGGCTACGACCAGTAGCAGCGGAGCATCGATGAAAAATTTTGCAAAAACGGGTAAAAATATTCCATTTGTGAGATTCCGTTGCGTGCGCTGGGTAAACGGTTAAAGTTACACAAAAATCATGTATGACGGAATTCTTTCCCTTTAAAAGTTCTGTAAAAAGCCCCCGACAGCCTATGTCTATATTTTAAGTTTGACTCACTATAAACCTTTTTCTTCAAATTAACGCGAGTGAAATCGCAGGGGACCTTTAGTTGTGACATAACTCTAAAAGTTAGACATATGGTATTTCGGACTTTTTGAAGTTATACTTCTTTAGGCGCGTTATGACAAAATGATGAGAGTGAAATTTTTAGATGCGCGCGCATCACTGTAACCCAAAAGTAACAGAAAACTGAACATTAACTTGAAAATATAATACATAATAAAGTGTATAACGACAGAACACAGGTTCATAGACCATTTGTACGGGAACCGATGTCGCCGGTTCGCCCCCACTACAGTTCCACCCAATAGATAGTAGCCAATCAAAAGACGGGACATCAAACAATCGAACCATTTATCACTCACACCTGAGAGCAACGACGCAATCAAAACCAAGTTTTGGTAAAGTTATGAGTATTTGTTCACAGCTAACTGTGGCACACCTGCCCCGCCCACAAGGCCCTTAAAACCTCTTTCCATGTTCTGTGTCTATGACAGAACACACCCCACATGGTACAACAATAGGAATTCAATTTATGGAAATTGGCGGTACCAAGATTACCGCTATCAAGCTTAAAAATAAAATATTTGTTTCTTAGGTTTTCACGCACATCACTCATTAAATAAAACTAGTTTTTAATGCACGAAACTTTATTTATTTATTGACGTTTCGCAGCCTTTTCAGGTCTGCATCGTCAGAATAATGATTTTTTATTTAAAATTGTCGAGCTACCTTCGAAAGACTTATATTGAGCGTTCGGTTATTTCATTGGAAGATTTTTAAAATTTTATTGTCTATGTATGAATTTATTATTTAATTTACTTAATAAAGTATTTTATTTAAAATTCTTGTTTGTAATTTTGAGTTTATTTATTTGACCCTAACTACCACCGGTTCCAAAATTGGGAGACCTTCCTGAGAAGAACCGGCGAAACAAACTCAAGAGAGGCTTTCTATCTCCTTCTTATGTTAAATTATGCAAACAAAAAGAACTAATAGTATCTGATGGTCTTGCAGTGTGTACTAGGGGTTGGGATTTTATCTCCTGTATAATAGGTTCCCAAGCTGGTGGTATACACCAACCATCTTCCCTATTGAAATTTGGATATTTTTTAATCTCAATAGCCTCGCGCATCATTCGAGGAACGAGCCGCCGCTCAGCTGCAAGGATCTGTGGTCTATCAAATCTAATGTAGTGGTTTGGTCCCCCTAATGCATGTTCACGTCAATAAATAAACAAAGTTTCGTGCATTAACCCGTAAAAACTAGTTTTATTTAAAAATAAAATTCAATAAAACTTGCAATATTTGTTTACAGATCAAAAGCCGAAGCGGTTTCCGGTACTGGTGTTCATCCACGGAGACTCCTTCGAATGGAGTTCCGGGAATCCGTACGACGGGAGAATATTAGCCTCTTATGGCAACATCATGGTCATCACCATCAACTTCAGACTTGGGATTTTAGGTAAATTAAAGAAAAGTTTTACTAGAAAAAAAACCACGCGGACCAGGCAGCGGACGGGACTCGAACCAGCACCCTTCGCAATCCGGGCGAATGCATTGACCAATTATGCTACCACGGCCCTGATGGGCGCGTCGAAATTTTCCTAGCCTTAAGCTGCAAGGCAGCGCCATCTCTTCGCATTGTAGGTAACCCACAATGTCAAATGAATACTTTTTCAAGTATTAAACATTTGAAAGAAGAAATAAATAAATAAATAAATATTTCCAACACTCACACCAATTAGCCTAGCCCCAAAGTAAGCACTATAAGGCTTGTGTTATGGGATACTAGGGTAACGGATAGAATACATATACTTTACATATATCAGTATATTTATATAGAAATACATATTAAACATCCATGACTGGAGTACAAATGCTCGTGTTCACCACACAAACATCTGCCCCCACCGGGATTCGAACCCGGGACCTCTCGAGTCGGCGACGCCATGAAACCCGGCGTACAAACCACTCGGAAACGGAGGTCGTCAAAAGAAATAGCAATTATAGTTAGGTTTGATTGTTTTAAGCATTTAACTGCTACATTTTTAAATCTAAAGAAAAGTTTTACTATAAAAAAAATCACGCGGACCCGGCAGCGTATGGGTGCGGCCAGAGTGCACTCAGATTCAGATTCCGAAAACAAGCGCAAGAAATAAACAGTGTAGTCTAAGCAGGTTGCCTGCTTTTTCTCGCGCTTTGTTTTCAGAGTCTGAATCTGAATCAGGAGTGCACTCTGGCCGTACCCTTCGACTACACTGTTTATTTCTCGCGCTTGTTTTCAGAATCTGAATCTGAATCTGAATCTGAGTGCACTCTGGCCGCACCCTATGCTACCACGGCTCTGATGGCCGCGTCGAAATCAGGGCCGTGGTAGCATAATTGGTCAGTGCATTTGCCCGGATTGCGAAGGGTCCGAGTCCCGTCCGCTGCCTGGTCCGCGTGGATTTTTTTCTAGTACACTCCTTATACACTCCTTAAAAAAACAAATATTTTTGTTAAAGAAAAGTTAACTAGAAAAAAAATTTTTTCTAGTAAAACTTTTCTTTAGATTTAAAGTAGCAGTTAAATGCTTAAAAAAATAAAAACATAATAAAATTATATTTGCAAAATCGTGGTAGAAGTAAGGCAAACAATGATTAGACACCTGTCGAAAAAACGACACTCTACGTACTATAAGTATTTTTTTGGAAATGAAAATTATGAAATACCTAAAATGCACTCACTACCTGTCTCTTTATAGGCATTAAAGCGCGGAAGTTAGTTTGAAAACTGTTGTTGTAATGTAAACGCCTGTTGTATTTCAATACTAGATCGTCTATTTTGTCCTTGTGCTCGGTTTTTAGCTTAACAAAAATATTTGTTTTTTTAAGGAGTGTATAAGGGCATATTTTTATGTATTAGAAGATTTGTTTTGAGATTTAAGACTACAGATTACTAGTGGCCCGCCCTCGCTTCGCTTCTCTATACTATATTTTTGTTCTCAAGCTTCTATTAAACACAATGACTTTCTTTAAATACCTAATTACTAAAGACACGTGGGGGACAGATGTTTGTGTGATGAATACGAGCATTTGTACTCCGGTCATGGATGTTTAATATGTATTTCTATATATACTTATATATGTACAGTATATGTAGGTATTCTATTCGTTACCCTAGCATCCCATAATACAAGCCTTACAGTGCTTACTTTGGGGCTAGGCTGAGGTGTGAGTGTTGGAAATATTTATTGATTTTATTTATTAGAGTAATGGCATCTTTTATTCGAAGCAGTCTGCTTTTTAATCATAATTATGTGTTAGGCATTATTGCAGCAGTAACATCTTGCATTATAGGCACTGTGCTTATAAAATTTTTAAGGAGGTCCAATGGGCACATTGAATATAAAATGTTTTAAGAAGGTCTAATGGACACCAAAAAAGAGGTCCAATGGGCACTTATTTTTAAGGAGGTCCAATGGGCACCAAAAAAGAGGTCCAATGGTCACATTGAATATAAAATGTTTTAAGAAGGTCTAATGGACACCAAAAAAGAGGTCCAATGGGCACTTTTTGCTTTTGGGTCGAATCTTGAGGGTCCAATGGGTACTAGACCCTTATAAATCAATCGATAAGCATGTACGCCATGGTTTGATGCTTGTATGGCTGGAAATCTCCATAGTCAAGTGAAATTTATTTTATTCAGAACGAAAAACAGTGGTAAAATGCTCATTTGACAAACAGTATTTGTAGTAGCCGTTACTAGAACCCTAACGACTGTCAATATGTCAATTAGTCACGGGACGATTCATCATCATCATCATCAGCCTCTTAATGTCCCCACTGCTGGGGCACAGGCCTTCCCTAGGGATGGAATAAGCAGATTGGGCCATGACCCACCACGCGGACCCAGTGCGGATTGGCGGGTGCTAACGACTGCAGATGCAACCGGGACCAACGGCTTAACGTGCCTTCCGAAGCACGGAGGAACTCGAGATAGAAATTTTCGGTCACCCATCCAATGACCGACCACTGCGAAAGTTTCTTAACTACAACAATCGCAGCCAAACACGCTAACCACCTGCGACATCGAGCTCCTCAACGATTGTCAGGAGATAAATATTAAAATACATCAATATGATGTGAATGCCTTTATTGCACTGTCATATAATGTAAAATATTGTTCTTAAACCATTTAGTGGGTCAACTGTGTCAGCAGTTTAGAGTGCATCGACTCGGAATACAACTTAATAATATACTAGCAAACCAGTGAACCAAATGTTCACAAAAAGAAATGTATTTAATTAATTGAGAACTTCGGAGATTTTGTGTGGTTTCGTTTGAAATAGAAATCACGTGATTTCTCGAAAACCGGAAGTGCTACGTTACTCAAATCCGGTTTGTAGTCTTATCAGACTATTCTTAACTTAAAACTTAAATATTCTCTTTATCTATCTCTTACGGTTTGGCCGCTGAAACAGCACCACAGACAGACGGACGGACTTGTCTAATAGATAAGAGATAATTAAATGGCTTGTACAGTATTGCAATACAGATGACACTTTCAATTATTGTACGACTACAAAACACATATATTTGCGTTTATTTAAGATTTTCTATTAATACAGTAGGTACCAATTAATTAACAGAAAATGACATTAGTAACTGAAAGTAACAACATGTCCCATCAATCAAACCACACTGCTAGAGCTTGAACTAGTATAGAAATAGATATTATTGTAGTTTTTATAGCTTAAGAGTGGCAAAATCTAACCAGGGTGCAAGTCCAACCGATGTATATCTATCTATATCTTATATATATAAAAATGAAACCCGTTTTCCGTTGTCACGACATAACATGAAAACGCCTTGACCGATTTGGCTGATTTTTTTTTGTAGGTTTCTAATACTCTGTACAAGGTTCTTACGGAAAAAAATAATTTAATTTTTTTAATTTTTAATTTTTTTATAAATTTTTTATTTAATAAAAATTAGTAAAGTCCTCAGGTATGGCGAGACCAGGGAAATAAGAATTCATTTTTATATGGAGGATATTATAGATTCCAGTTCAAATTGAATAGGTACTCATACATAAGATAGGTCAGCTATACAAATTAAAATAGTGCATCAAAGCTACACTAAGGCGGTACGAAGTTCGCCGGGTCAGCTAGTATATATATAAAACTCAAAGATGACTGACTGCCTGACATAGTGATCTATCAACGCACAGCCCAAACCACTGGACGGATCTTGCTAAAATGTGGCATGCAGGTAGATGTTATGACGTAGGCATCCGCTAAGAAAGGATTTTGATCAATTCTACCCCCAAGGGGATAAAATAGGGAATGAACGTTTGTATGAAACTTTGTCAATTTTAAACCGATCGGGCTGAGACTTTGCATGCAGGTATAAGAAGAATCATAGATGAATGTCATTGTGTATAATACAAGCCTGAGAACAAAAACTGACTACACTTCAGCTCTACACCGAAGCAAAGCGAGGGCGGGCCGCTAGTCTAGTATATTAACATTCACTTAGATACTTCGGCACCTTGGGAGAAAACTGAAGTGTACTTAAACATTACCTTTATATAACCTACCTAAATGATGTCTGTAGTTGCAGAGGTCTTGGTTGGATCAACTTTTCTATATTACTTTGAATCTATGTGTCTTTATTTTGCATTTATTATATTTCTTGTCGTACCGAAACACGTGTGTAGACTGAAAATATATGAAAGCGACCATGGTCGTGATACTCACCAACAATTTATTAAGGTCACACTTAGACCTTGTTATTTAGAACATAGTCAATGTCACGTCAAATACATAGTATATACAGGATGTTACAAAAATACAAATAAGGCTTGAAGGGGCGTTGAAGTACATCATATATGGAGTCTTTTCTAATTTACTTAAAATATTTGCATGAAATTTTAACTTTTTATAAAAACATATATTTTTAATGATCCTCGAACTAGTGATGTGTCTTAAAATGATCGATATTTTTATTAATCATTAAAAATAACTGTTTTTTATAAAAAGTTAAAACTTCATGCAAATATTTTAAGAAAATTAGTGAAGACTCCTTGTATGTTGTACTTCAACGCCCTTCAAGCTTTATTTGTATTTTTGTAACATCCTGTATATGTAAACATTTTTTTTCCTAACCAATTTCTTTGCAGTAAAATCAAATTGAACTCGACATTAAGGTAATAACTTTGGATGCAGCAAGAATTTAAATCCGTCATCTTAATACGGCACTTTCGGCATATTCTCATACTGCAGACTCATGAAACGTTTGAAAAAACTGCTTTGTCAATTTCAATTTCACACCTTCTATAAATATTAGTAAAGTCAACCTCTCAGTTTACTTAGGGATCCGGTCGAACCCGAATCAATACTGAAAGAAGTTCACTTGTTGAATTTAAGCCAGTTTTACGCTCCGAAAACTTTCCCCAAGGCCTTCGGACAAGATACTTTTG